TCTCTCCTAGATTAGATTATTATGGTGTGGTCATTTTATCCACCTGCCTGCAATCCCTGTGTAGTTCTCTGCCATTTCCTTACCCAGACAAGCTGTCACATTCCCTGCTCCCTGCAGGAAACACCTTTAGGATCTCCAGAGTTGTCAAGCTAGTCTTGTTTTAACTGAAGCTGACCTTTGCAGTGCCACAGAGTGCAACACAAATTTGGGATGCTTGCTCTTTTTAGCTGCTTCAAGGAGCTCTGACTGTGAAACTGAAAGCACTTGAGCATTTCAACAACAAAATGTGTTGCTGTAACAACAAAGGGTTAAAAATAGTCCCCGTTCAATTCTAGGGGTTAATCCACTGGGGAGTTGTGAGGGAAGAGGAAGGTTTCTAAAACAATCCAGTTTTTGTCTTCCTCTGAAAACTGACTGCTTCACAGTTCCTCTTAATAGCAGCAAGACCATCACTTTTGAGAGGCAGAAATCAAGATGAGGTTGATACTGGATTTCTTTTTAATTCCAGTCTGTTGTGAAAATATTGGTGAGGAGGTACCACATCTCAATTTAAATCCTTAGCTGTTTCTGTTCTGACAGACTTTTCTTATGCTTCATAATATGCATTTGGTTTAGCCTGGGTTGAGTAGTAGTAGTGCTTATGAGGAGTCCTTACTGAACACAAGAGGTGTGACTTCCCAACAGATGGCTATGACTTTGGATACACAAAATGAAGAGTTACTTAGGAAAGGGCTAAAAGGAATTAACCAGTATAGTAGAGAAGTCTTCAGTGTTTCTGGAGTTGGCATAGCAATCAATTCATACTTCTAGCACTAAGAGTAAGTGGGAGTTTTATTCTCTGATCAATAGTCCAGAGCAAAAGCTGACAAAAACTAGATCAACGTTCTCCAAATCAACCAGCTTCTCTGTATGAGAAGTTCAATTCCCTCTTATTCTCCAAATTAAGAGCTTTAAGCTACTAACACATGTAGCAAAGCACAAAGTATGTACCTAGACTAAGAGCTGAGCACTTGTGCTAAAATTGCTGGCAAAAATTAATGCAACCAATTTCAAAATAATAATGAAGATTTCTGCACAGTAAGTAGAATTACTTAAGGGAGCTCTATTATTCAGGGTACTGATATTCTTAGCAGAGTGAAGAGTTGAATTGGAGTCAATGCTTAATTATCTTAATTACAGTATTAATGCATGTGATAAAATGCATCTGCTGCCTTGAAAAAAAATCAGTAAGGAATAATTGTTTCCTGGGTTAGGACTTCTCAATAAGCAGAGAGTAGTTGTGAAAGCAATGAGGAAGAATGGAGAGGAAGCAGTACTTGGGGTTTCTGTGGGATTACTGTGGAGATTTGTGATGAGGAGGATGGCTTGGCCCAGACCATGGGTATTCAGTAAGATACTAAGTGGTTGGGAAAGGGAGCTGGTTTCCCCATAGTCAAGCTGGGATTGTGGTGAGGTCTGTGGTCTGGGAATTAGGGCAGATGCCACGTTCCTGTGAGACAAGAACATGGGCTAGGAGGCCTGGCTGGGACTCTAGAGGCTTTTGGGGGGTGCTGGTAAGAGCTTGGGACTGAACTCAGTGTGTAATGCAGGTTAGTACTGAGCTGACAAAGTCTGTGATCTTTTAATTGCTGCTTATCTTTGAGTGTGAGTTATCTTTGCTGCCAAAGCATCTGTCAGGAGCAGCTTCTCCAGTGCAGAAGTGTCAGAAAGGAGAGGGCTAGCTGGAAGCAGGAAGGAGCTGTGTGTGCCAAAGCAGGGCTGTAAGCAAAGGTGACAGAATGGTCTGCTGGTCAAACTTATGTAATCCATATGGAGTAGAACTGCAGAGAATGAATCCAGGTATGGATTACATCTATATTTTCTGTAATTTCTTTCTAAAACTTTTAATTTGTATTTTCTTCTCAGGAAATGTACTCTGCACTGTGTAGTGGCTATTTTTTCACCAGTAGTAACTTATAGAATCCTAGAATTGCTGTGGTTGGAAGAGACCTTTAAGATGATCAAGTCCAACCATTAACCCAGCACTGCCAGGTCCACTAAACCATGTCCCTAAGCACCACATCTACAGCTCTTTTAAATGCCTCCAGGGTTGGTGACTCCACTTCCCAGGGCAAGCTGCTTCAGTGCATTACAACCCCTTCTGGGAAGAAATTTTTCCTAATAGCCAACCTAAACCTCCCTTGGCACAAGTTGAGGCCATTTCCTTTTGTCCTATCATTTGTAACATGGGAGAACAGGCCAGTCCCCACCTCCCTGCAACCTCCTTTCAGGCTGGTGAGAGAACAATTAAGGGTCTCCCCTGAGCCTCCTGTTCTGTAGGCTAAACAACCCCAGTTCCCTCAGCCACTCCTCATAAGGCTTGTGCTCTTTACCAGCTTCAGTCTTTATTTGGACATGCTCCAGCACCTCAATGTCCTTCTTGTAGGGAGGGGCCCAAAACTGAACAGAGTGCTCAAGGTGTGGCCTTGAACTGTTGGCTCATGTTCAGCCAGCTGTTGACCAGCACCTCCAGGTCCTTTTCCAGTGGATGTCTTTCCAGCCACTCTTCCCCAGGCCTGGAGCACTGCATGGGGTTGTTGTGACCTAAGAGGAGGCCCTCTGAGCAGGACTCTGGCTGAGTGGTGTCCAGCAGTGTGCTACAACAGGCTGTAGTAAGCAGAATTTTTGTATCTCTCAAATGGAAAAGCAAGTTGGTAGTTTACCAGAACTTTAAGGACAGTGTATATACCTATCAGCTATATATAACCTCATCATGCAGTGGACCTAAAACAATAACTGAAGTTTCCAGGCTCAGTAAAAGCTTTGTGAGCAATGTTTCATGTATGACTATGTGCATCCCTTCTTATGCTTTCTTTCCAAATACAGGTTTAAAAAACGAATGCTGATAGAACAGCTTGAGAGTTTTCTGGAAGAAATCCATCGTAGATCCAATCAGGTCAACCACATCAACAGCAGCTAAGAACCACTGCACACAGGAGAAAGCCACAGCAGGGCACTGCTGTCCTTACTTGCATTCATTTTTGACATGCACCCTTATCTCAAGTTCCTATACCTGAAAGAATGAGAAGCTGCTCTATAAAATGATAAAAATATCCATCATGTTTTTGTTTTTTTTTTTTCACTTGGTATTTTTGTAATGTGAAAAATATGACAGAAACATTTTTTTTTAATTTAAATAAATGGAGAACTTCTTGCTTGTCATGGACTTAAGTGTCACTTTCCCTCAGGTTCTATTTTTCTTAATCCAACCTTCAAAACGATCACCTCTTAAGGTTGAACTTTGCCAAAAAGTTGCTTTGTAATTTTCAAAGAGAAAAAGCACATGCATTAAACAAGGTAATGTTTTGTATATACAGTTATTTTGGATATATTATTGTAAGTTGTATAAATGTATTTTGAAAAAAATATTTAAGAAAAGCACTTTTGTTATTCCATCAATAAAAGCTCTATTTTAATCTTTGTGTAGGTTTGAGTACAGTTTTTATTGGAATCACTCATTTTGCCTTCCCTTTCCACAGCTTGTATGTTCTAGGTTCAGTGTTAAAGAATGAAAGAGCAGTTGTGTCACTGAATATTCTGTTCTCAACTGGAGAAGGCATTGAAAGGAAGGTAATGCTGAGTTGCAGCTACAGGAGGATCATGTGGCCTTGAGAACTTTGCTCTGCACTGTTTGGTGACTAGCCTAACAAATTGATGTCCTGTGTGCACATCCACAGCAGCTGTAAACCCTACAGCTTTATGAGGAAGCTATGTAGTAAATCCAGGGCTCAGCAGCCTTCAAGGAAGGCTGCACAAAGCTTTTCTGCATCAGAAGTTTTTCATGTTTATGAATGCAGCTATAGCCAGGAGGTGCTGCTGCTTGGACCCAAAATATCACTGAATGCTTTACTGGCCATGTCTTTCATCTGTGTTAGATGCTCCTAACTTCTGGAAAGCTTTGTTTGGTTCAGGGAGAGCAGCTTGCCTCTGATTTTCCCAGGAGTCAGTGGTTTGCAGTCTTCATGGGCCTGGGTTGCTGAGGCTTGTGCCATGAGTTGCTGAATCTTGTAGTAAATCACTTGGTGGATCCCTGCTTCTCAGGAGGTGCTGCTGCTTGGACCCAAAATATCACTGAATGCTTTACTGGCCACGTCTTTCATCTGTGCTAGATGCTCCTAACTTCTGGAAAGCTTTGTTTGGTTCAGGGAGAGCAGCTTGCCTCTGATTTTCCCAGGAGTCAGTGGTTTGCAGTCTTCATGGGCCTGGGTTGCTGAGGCTTGTGCCATGAGTTGTAATCCTGCTTCTGTCAGGATGCTGAAAAAAATCAGTTTTCTAGATGCTTTTAGCCTCATTCAGTGTTCTTCAGGAATGTCCATTCTATGTCATGTTCACTTAAAAAAAGGTGCTACCACTACCTGGTTTGGTCACAGATTGAGTGGGGATTTCTGCTTCCTACCTCTTCTATCAGTTTTGAAAGCTTCTCACCTTGATTTTGTTTTCACAGCATTTTTGTTTGCTAGCTACCTTACTATCTCAGCTGGATTATATCCAAGTCTGACATGGGACTGAATTTCAATTTTGTTTATTTTTTTTTAACTTCAGAACAGGGAAATAAATTTGTGCTTGAAAAATAACATCACAAATCTTTATTGTGGGGTGTTTTCTTTGAGATGACCTACATACTTGGCAGCAGTCAAAGCTGACTATAGCCATGATGAAGTAGTTAAGCAGAAGCTGTTGGCTGATATTCTCAAACATTTAGGTGCCACAATCTGTTCAGTTTTTCCCCAAAATGCTTGTATGCTTTCTACCTTTGCTGTATTTGTGGTGCTGATGATTCCTAGGCAGCTCTAATTTTCCAGCAGTGAAGTAATGAAGTGATAAGGTAGTGGAGGGCTTGCTCACTCTTATTCCTGCAAAACTGATGCTGTTTAAAACAGTGTAATAAATACATGTACTGTAGCCTTGAAGGAAAGCTCACCACAGGAGGAACTGAAGACAGTGTACTTGTTTAGTGTTTATTATGAAGGATTTGTAACTCTTCCTAGAAAGAGTACAGAACCTGTAAGTGAAAACAATACGAGCATTATTTCAGTTTGGGACCACGTTTTCAAAGTGTAGTACAGTTTCAGTACATAAATTAAGCATGGAACTAGCAGATTTGTGGTAGTTCCTTGCTTGTAAGGGAAAATCAACTGCATGCTTGCCTTAGAATAACTTAGAATAACTTCTGTATTAAAACCAAAAAGGGCTTTCCCAAATATTTGGGAGCTCAAACCAGAAATATTGCCAAAACCTGAAACTTGCCCATATCATTGGCTGAAGAATCACTCTTGAACTGACCAAAACAACCTAAATTCATTCCTTTGTGTTGGATGTTTCTACAGAAGGTATTATTATGACCCCTTGAATGAAATCACTGCCTCAGATTCACTGAATTTGTGGTTCAGTTGTTTGTATTCCTCTTACCTTGCCTGTCCTTCAAAAGAAATGTGTTCAAATCTGAAATTCAGATTTAAATACCCCAACTTTTTAAATTATTTCAGGCAGAACTACACTATTACAACTCTTGGAAAATATATTCCTGCTCTTACTAGAAGTCTGATGCAATGAAGATTTTGTGTCTAGGTAAAGATTCATTGTGAACTTTATGGAATGATAAGTTTTAAGTACCTGCAGTGAGGTTAATAAAATATTAAAAGTGGATCTTGTTTACTTTCCTCCTCTTCATACCTGAACAACTTAAGTCACTAAGTCTGAACAAACAAAATGCCTGTTTTCATGTTTCAATTTTTGCACTAAAAAGCTTAAATTACAGAAGGGTTCTTCTGAATTTGAGTGGCTTGTGGAAGGTGTATATATTTTGCTATGCTCCATATAAAAATCCTGTTTTACAATCAGATTTCTTTCCTATCAATATATATACTGTAAATTGGACAGTTTTATTCACCCAAATCAGTTTGTTCTTGATCCTGAAGAACCTGTGGCTCAGGTTTCATAGATCAGCTTTTGATGCCTTTTATTTCTTAATTCTTCATTTGCCAAGTAAAAACACTTTTATTTATTGAATGGTAACAGTTGCCAGTGTATTTAAAACAGAACCTTCACCAAGATAGTGCTGTTCTCTTTAAAAAAAAAATGTGTTTGCATTTTGATCAAAATGTAAGATGTGGGTTTTTAAATTGGAATGTTACAGACACAGGTATTCACCAGCTAAGAAAGCAGTGTGTGTTGCTTGGAAACAGATAAGAAAATTATTCTCTTTGTTGTCTTCCCAAGCCCCAGTGTTTTATTGAAGCCCATGTTCCCAGGAAATCTAAACAGATGCAACCCCACTTATGAAAGAAACTCAGTGCTGTGAAAGAATTTTAGAAAAATACTTAAGGTACAAATTCACTGCACTGCTAAGAATGGAAAGAGAGTTGTTGGAGATGGCCTGATGCTTCAGAGGAGCAAACACCTGCTAAAGGGTGCATAATACAATTCTTAATTATTCTTGCTGACAATCTATATCATGTTTTCCTTTAGGAGAGATTCTGGAGTAACCTCTGTGATGGGAGATCTGAAATAAGACATACTCTAATACTGAAGCCAGAGGGGCACAGTAATGCTTCACTTTCTCAGACATGCTCTGCAAGTGTTTTGTTTTGGGGGCTGGAGGAGTTCATTTGCAAGAAATAGAATTACTATTTTTTTTATTTTATTTTGCAGTTCCTTGCAGAAGTGAAGATACAAGTCAGGCTCTTTGCAGGGCTAAGTTACCTGATCACATACAGTGAATACCCATGGCTTTTGATAACCAGAATATCTCATGAGGATACTAAGTAGTGAAGAGTCCACACGTATAAACCTATCTCCTCAAAATTCTTGATTTTCAACATGAAAGGGAAGAGAAACTTGCTGCTGCATATTCTAAGCTGTAGCCAGGTAAAAGATTGGTCTTCAGAATTTCAGAGTTATCCCCCTAGAAACTGCTGAGGTATTTATAGAGGGAGTTTCAGGCCCTGGAGTCTGGTGCCTACAGGCAGAAGTCTGTATGTGCCATCTGCATAAGCATGCATAGGTTTCATTTATAAGGAAAGAGTTATTTTAATTTCTTCATCTATTAATCCATCTGATTCAACCTGTTGGTAATTTGGATGGCCCTGTAGAGGTTGGTCCTTAACCCTGGGGCATTTGAGATCTGTAAAGTCCTTCTAGTGCCTATGACTATGATAGAAATCTTTCTGAGCACATACTGCACATATATAGAAGAGGCTGATGTGGCTTCCCTGATTTCTGTGATTACCATGAATTATTTTAAAAGAAATTAAAAGGTATTCTTTGTGCTTTTAAGACAATAAACCCACTCTGCCTACGGTTGTTGGAATTTCCTGGACTTGAAGAACAGCACACTGTTTACAATGAGCTTGTCACTAATTTCAGTGGTACTTATGAAGGCTTTTGCTATTGAAACAGAGAGCACGTGTACCTGTGGTAGCTTCCCTCAGGAAAAATGTGAAGGGTCGGTCTGCTTTGAAAACAGGAGCTCGAGATCTTTTTAGCAACACCATTGCTGCAATGCAACAAAGAAAAGATTAGTAAAAGTGTCCATTTTCATTCTATTTTCTCTACAGTGGCCTCACTCTGATGTTTAGTACCATGAGTTTTGAGTTGCTGCTCTGCTTTAAGAATAAAACAACTATTTTATCCATCAGTGAAGTTGGTCTGGGTGAATGAACAAGTGTTGTGAGACTATTGTGTGTGTTTTGTTGCTGAAGTGAGTCCTCCTGGCTTTGGATTTTAAAGGTTGTGTGATTTTTGTTGTTATCACAGCCCTAACTCTGTTAATGTCATGCCATGCTACTGCCTTGCCTGTTAGCCAATTCCTAGCTATGCTGTTCTGGTTAAAAAAAAGATAAGCAAGGCACAAGTACAGTCCCTTTTCTAAATGGGAGGCCAAGAGCAGAGAAATACCTGTGTCACCTTGGAATTTCTCTGTTGGAGCTCTCAACAAAACCTAAGTATCCTCTGTCTCAGTTTATGCCTATCTTTCTCCTCTCTGGTTGTGGGTTGATGGAGGTTAAATAAAGCATCCTTAATTATGATGCTTCAGCTATTATTAAAATACCTATTTAAAAAATAAATTTTTCCTTGTAGTTATAAAGTATTAAGAATACATTGTCAAAAAAACCACTAAAATCTCCAGATTTGGATTATTTTTTTAATGAGCAGTTAAAACAATGAGACTCAACTGAGAATTCAAGTAAGACTCGACTCAGGTAAGACAAGGGAAACTAAAAACCAGGGGTTTTATTTGGTAAGGCTCATGTGATTAAAAAAAAGAGGGGAGGGTGTGATTGTCCAGCTTAATAATTTTAGTTCCCCTGTTTTGTGTAAATTGTGATGGAGGATTTCTGTTGAGATCTCATTCAGCTTATGAAGGTCATTATTCTGTAGTCCATAGCTGAGGTTTCCCTCTGAACCTTCCCACGCAGCCAGCCCCAGCTGCTTATGTGGAAATGATCTGTTAGCAGAAGCTACTGCACACAGAAGTCACACTTTTGAAGTATGTAAGAAACAAATCTCTCTTTATCTTCATGAGGACAAAACTTTCCCATCGTTACCTTCAATGCTATCAAAGAAATAATCTAAAAAACCCAAACTCTGTAACAGTTCAGCAGCTATAAATAAAATGTTAGTAACCTTTTTCCATTCTTTGCTTATATGATCTGACCAAACAGATTTAATCAACAGAAAAGTTAAGTAGTTTATTTTCTCAAACTGGATTTTTCCTGGGCTGGTAGAGCTGGTTTCACTTGAGCCTTTACATGTTAGTCTGAGATCCAAAATTAAAGGGTTCCAAGGGATAATTACAAAGGGTAAAATGAAAGCGTGTTAAATATAGAAGTTTAAATTTAGGGTAGCATAAGTTTAAAAGCTAGCATGCTTGCTTTTAAAAAAAGAGACTAGTAGTTGTTTCTGTATTAATTAATTCTCATTTCTGGGACTTAAGTCTTTATTTGATTTACCTGTAGCTCCTGATGCCTTCGTGCCATCTTCTGTTATTTCAATCTCTGCTTTGTGTATAGCTTCTGAAATATAAAGACTGTCTTGCTCTGCAAAATGCCAGAAATTAGCAGTTATTTTATGAAATTCATAGCAAAGACTTTTTTAAAAATTATTATTTAGAATGTTTTAACCTTTTTTTCCTGCAGAATCTAAGACTGAATCCATTTCAGACAGGCAACTAATGCAATGATTGAAACTGAAAAGCTGTTAAGTTTGGCTGTGGCAAAGGATTCCAGTCCCTTGGATTTTAACTGGAGCAGCAGTAGCTGCATCATTCCCTGGTGCTGCTGGACAAATAGTGGTGTGTGCCTGGCATCTGCTCTAGTCTATGCTTAAGGTAATAATAATTTAAAAATCTAAAATATTAAGATAGAACTGCTTACAAAATACTTAATGCTTAGTAGAAGGAATATAATTTTAGGTAATGTTTAGCTTTCAAGGAGTTCACTGCAAGATTCTATGATTCTAAGGATTTGAAGTACATGCTCTCCACCTCACTACCTGTGAACTAATGCTGAACACAATATCTGTCAGAAATTCCTCTCACTGGCTCCTTCAGCACATGTTCAGACAGAGAGCAGAATAAATCTGCCTTTCAGTTGCTTTTCCTGTGTCTAGCTTCCACATTAGAGATCAGTTCTAATTTGGATGCAACTCCTGACTTTTCATACGTGTGACTAGCAGAGATAAACACAGGCAGCATGAACACCTAAGATAGCTTAATATTCAGGAATTTTTAGCACAGCTTGTAGCTGAGATAGCATGACTACTTTGTTTCTGGAACAGTGTGACCTGATATGCAGGGAGCTGGAATAAGCTAGAACACTGGTGTGCCTTGAACTTATCTGCCTAAACATGTCCTGTGTCACAGTCAGTGTGGCTGAAGGCCCAACTGCCTCTGGGCTTCCATGTGGAGTGTGGGTCCAGTGAAGTTCTGAGGAAAGAATCACTACTGTGAACACAAAGTTGGGGTATTTTTCTACTCACATTCACTTATTCTTTCATCTTTGTGACTATTTCCCCACTGGATGGGCAGCAGTGGACTGAATGCTGAGTGGGAATTACTAGTTTGAGAGGTCTCCAGGTTGAGGTGGAAAGTAAGGGAATGTGGTGGGACTAAAAACTAATTAACACAGTGGGGGCAATGAATGCACTGAGGAGCTGTTGGAAGGGAAATTGCAGAAAAACTGCTCTTCAGGGAGAAAGGATGAGACTCCCACATAAAATGGAGCTTGGAAAAAGGAGATACATACCAAGGAAAGTGTAACAAATCTGCTTCTCCACAGCTGATGGTGGAGGGCAGAAAACAGGGAAGGTTAAGGGGTTTTTTTCTTGTCTAAATCTGAGGATCAAATCTGACATAGGTGAAAAGAAGGAAATAATAAAAAAAGTGTTTTATATGCTTCTATCTGAATTTTGTCCAGCCAAAAATCTGGGATGGAAACAAGACAAAATGGGGGAGAGGCAGAGTTTTTTAAACTAGATAAATTTAACACATTTTGGAGGGGGAAGAGGGGGGGGAAATAGAAGCTTTCAGGCATAAAGAAGCTATTCCAGGTCTTAAATGAAGTAACACATTTGTCAAAATAGTGGGCAGTAACAATTTTAACATGCATCTCTTTGCAGTTTGAGACATCCACTGCAGTAGAACAATGCTATGTTCAATTTTAAAAGCAGCATAAAAAAAAATTGCCAGTCATGTGTCTTCTGAGGTTCATCTCAGGAAAGCAAGTTTTCTGTAAAGCAGCTTTGTCCAAATGGGAGGAATTTCATTTATTCACTCACACACACAAGAATTGCATGAGCTCTCTGCATCCATCTGGGCAGATTCTGCCTCAAGTCTTTGCTATGAGGAGAAGTGACTAAGGCTCAAATAATTTGTGTTGCCAGAAGTAATCAAAAGAAAAAACAATAATTTGAATTCTTTTTGTATTTAATATTAAGTAGGAATAAAAACTTCTCAAGGAGCAGAATGACTAAGGCTCAAATAATTTGTGTTGCTAGAAGTAGTCAAAAGAAAAAGAAAAACCAATAATTTGGGTTCTTTTTGTATTTAAGTAGGAATAAAAACTTCCCAAGGAGCAGAGTAATTTCAGACTTCCAAAACAAAGACAGCTGTGAACTCTAACACTAATATTTGAGTGAAGGGAAAGTATAATTTAGTCCACTGGTCACTGGATTAGCAAGAGAACATGGCATGGACACACATCAATATTGGCTTGCAGTGTCAGGAGCTGGAATGCAGACTTGTTGGACCAGCATCCCTATTTAAAAACAGGAATAGGAATGCAAGTTGTGCTAATGTATCCTAAATTTCTGAATAAAGAACTGTTTTCCAGGCCTATGCTGTCCTAGAGAGTTTTGATCTTAAAAAAGAGGAGGAAAAGAAACCCCAAGACCCAAACCAACCCTGTTCCTCTCAGATTCTCCTTCCCTGCCAAGCAGCAGCTCCAAATACAATTGGACAATACAATAGTAAGTAGAAGAGTTGAGTGTGAGCTGTGTTTTAGAGTTTCACAGAATACAATGAGTTTAGAAGGCCCAGGTCTACTGAATCATTCAAATGTGAGAGTCTACAATCATTGGGTCAATGATCATTTTTATTCAGCCAAGCCTCTTACCTGAAATGCCTTTAAAATTAGCAGTGTTGGGGTCAAATGCATCTCTAATTCCCAAGGCATAAAAAACTGTCTTTAGGTCAAAAAGGCTTTGAATACTGAACCTGAAATTAATAAGATAGATCTCCTTTAAATGCTGGATTTGTAGTTTCATAGAGCTAAAAAGGTAGAACAGATGCAATTTATTTCAAGCCTTTGCATTTCATCCATCTATTTCTGTACAAGTCCAATGTGTTCTGTCTGATTAAAGTGTACTTTGCAGAAAAGCAACTCATCTTCCTCTGAAGATACTAGCAGAAAGAATCCCTTGCCTCCATCTCCTGCAATCAGACCACCTCTCAGTCTTCTTGACACATGAACTCTGCATTTCCCCAAATTTCTCTCTTGGATCCTTACAGGATTCTTGTACCCCATACAAATTTTAAGTAAAAGCTGCAGGATCAACTAAAACACTTGTTTTTTTTAAAACAATACAGAGCATATGAGAAACTTTTGGCCTTCCCAGCTCACCTCTTCATGGCTTAAGAAATATTAGAGCTTTTCTGATCATGTGATGAATAACAAAACTGAAAGCATCTCATTTGGTTTGGCCTCACACGTTGCTTGTGTCACACAGAACTCTGACAACTGCAGTACTGAAAATATCTTGGTGTGTTAATGTTGCTTACCTAGGTAGAAAAATGTCCATCTTTGTTCTCTTTAAGCTGTTGGCCCAGAGGGTTATGGTTTTGGCAGAAAGGTGAGACTCAATCTGGGCCAAAGGTGTCCTTTTGTGGCTGGGAAGCAGCAGGAACATGCTGAGTTTCTCACCTAGGTAGGGTAACTCAACCACACTGAAACTCTCCAGAGCTGCAGTTTGGAACTGGCCTGTGGGTAGGCAAATATACATCTTATTTCATTGCTCAAGTGGGGGAAAAAACCCAAAACCCACAACAAAAGCCTGGGTCAACAGGCAGTTCAGAAGCCTAATGACAGAATATAAAAGGTTCTCTCTAATCCATGGGCTTTTGGAGCCAGCTCAGGTTGCTCTTAACTCACAACAGTAGCTCCTCTAACAGAGCTGATTGTGCCAAAACAAACAAATAAATCAATTAATCTGCATGTATCTTGGCAGAAAAATGCCAATTACAGTGATAGTACCTGAAGCACTGTCTGAACAGAGCATGGATGTTTTATTACTTTCTTACAGTAGTAGCTGTTCTCCTTTCTCAGAGTTTAAAAGACATCACAGAGGCAATGACAGTAACTTTATGGTGACTGTTCCTGCAATGCTTGTTCTTTGAATAAGCTTACCATTTTCTGATAAAAAAGTCACTACTGAGAGAAATTAACCCTCCCCCCCCCAAAAAAGAGTGCCCTATTGAATTAATTGAAATCTACTTTGCCTCATGTTTCTCTATTTACTACCTTTAAAAATCAATTTTAACCTTATTTCAAGAAACAAATAGGTACATTAAACAATAAAGTAGTTAGGCTTATGCTTATTAAAGCACCACATTTCTTATGTTTGAAAATCTAGGCCTAAAAGGTATCAAAATTAGATGAAGGTTGTAGAAACTAGCCTCAAAAGTAAGAGCTGGTGGGCTTCTGACCATGTAATTACTTATACAACAATTTGTAACAGCCATTTAAAAGTACCATTTTAATGCCATATTTCAATGAACAATTAGTCCAGGCATTTCTAATGGACTTTGTTAAACAGCAGAACAGATTCAATTATCACAATTTCACTTTCTTCATTTTTTTCATCTAAAGAAATAGCATTTCAGAAACACTCAGCAACATTTAGCAGGCCAGGAGTTAAAGACATGTTGCAAGCAAATGATTTAGCATTGCCATTGCTTCAGGTCATCTAAAATACTTCATCTAATCCCTCTTCACCAAGCTGTAGGAGCTCTATCTTCAAGGGCAGATACTTCAGCTTTTTGAAGCAGTGATTGTAAATCACAGAATATAAATATATATAAAAAAAATATATAAATGACAGAATAACACCTAAATATTTGCCAATAAATAAGCAGCAATAGGATGTCCCAAATGTTGAGTGTAAAACGTGTTAGTTTTGCAGATCTGGATGAGATAGGACTCTGATCTGTTTTAGCAGAGGACTTTAGAGCCCTAATGGCTCAATGGTTGGACTTGATCTTAAAGTTCTCTTCCAACCTAAAGGATTCTATGATTCTATGACTCATTAAGTGTTGATTATTCTGCTAGATTAAGTTTTAAGCTCTGAGATCAGCCCTACCTCCATGCAACGTGGGGAGGGAACTGCATGGCTGAAAACACCTCCCAGCACAAGGATCACTTTGCCAAGAAAAGACCTTCTGGTTTGTAATGGGCAAGGAGAAAAGATTTACACTGGTAGTGCACTGGGCATAGTGGTTTCCTCTGTGGGCATGCTGATATTTTGAAGTCAGCATGTTGTGCCCAAAGATTACACAGATCTTACTTGTTAATTAGAAAGCAAATCAAAGACTTGAGATTATGGAGTGAGAATGTTTAGCTCTCATCATCTGAACTGCTTTTGAGCATCCCATAAGAATTATATATATATGCTAAATCAGTGCTCAAATACAGTTAACAAATAGCTTGGAAAAATGAAGATGTAAATTAGCTGCAGTGTTTATAAGGCTTGTGTAAATAGTAATGTTGACGTTTTCTTGGAGCAGTGTTAATTATTCCTGGGCTGATTTGTGCTGCATATGGGCATGTTAAAAGGATAAAAAAATGTTGTAAATACTGAGGTCAACAACAGGCCACAGCTAATCTTTCTCACTCTGTTTTTATCCTGGTGGTAAAGAGCTGCTGTAAGTTGATAATGAAGGAAGGTTATCTCATGCCTCTGTTTTGCTGTAGTAGTCCTGTGTTTTGTATTAATTTCAAACTGATTTGTTAGAAAAGTTTCTAGCCCTTCTAGTGACAAAGACTGAATTTGCCCTGTCAAATCTGACAATCAGCAAACTCTAAATGATCCCTCTCATTTCAACTCTTCTCAAAAGTCTCTCCAGTTGAGTGACTCATGTATTTCAGACCGAATGAAAAAGTAATTCCAGTATTTTGGTGAACTTTTGGGTTTTGTGTAAATATTTAATGATTCAGCTACCTACCTAAGGACTCTAGGATGAAGTTCTTGTGTTTAGGCAAATGGTCAGAGGAGCACAACTGACAATTTCTCATCAAGCTTGCAAGGGCTCAGGTGCAAATATATGTTGGGTTTGCAGCTCAGCTGCTGAATTTCTGATCTCAGGTCTTTTCCCAGGATGTCCACTTGTCATTTTAGACACTGGGCATTTTAGATCTCTCATTTCTTTGTCTCACTCTACTAAAAGTCTGGAGACAAAGTCTCTTCCTGAGATAATAGGTGTGTTTTAGTCCCAAGAAACTTGTTTATTTGACTGAATAACTCCTGAAGCAGCAAAGGGAAATGCTATTCCAGGTTTCACAAGTAGCAAAGACCCTGCAGTGAGCCAGTGGTACAAAATAAGGGAGCTGAAAGACCACAAGTTGGTGTTGTAGCTTTTCTTGCTCAACAATACAAATGACAAGGTGTAGGGCTTTGGAAAGGGGAACTCTGCATGCCTGAGTCTCTGTGGTCTACTGCCTGCCTGATGTGACTGTTGCACAGAAAAGGAAAATTATTGAGTCATATAAACAAGAGAAAACAGAAGGAAGAATGGTGCTGCTGAAGACTGTGAACTTTTTTCTTTTTAGATTCATCCCAATTAACTGGAACTGATAGACAAGGAATAATCTGATGATAAAGCAAAGGACAGTGGTGAGGTTCCTAAAGGAAATAAGGAAAGAACAGGAGGCACTATAACACCAGAGACAGAAACAAAGTTTGAACTACTTGGGAGACACAAATAATAATTTGCTGCCTGGATTATCACCACTCCAGAGTATGAAAATAATTTGGATGTGCCACACACACGTGGCAGCAAAGATTTTTAATAGACCTTATGGATTTAGTTGTGTCCCATGACTGGAAAATGGGAGTATATTCATAATGGAAAAGTGTTCTGGGAAATTTTAGGTCATTGGGAAGTTTTAGAACATACTCTGGAGGAAAGAATAATCAAATAACAGAGGCATACAGAAAGTGAGATAAATTGCACCATCAGGTGGACCCTAGCAAACAAATCTATAAACTCTTCTGACTTGCTAACTAATTTGCTAAAAAGGCAGAGATCCAGCCAGCTAGTTTTAAGTAAAATATTAAACATAGTTTCACTCTGGCACTATTTACAGTTAGAAGTGACAACACTTAGAGCAAGAAATGAAAGGCAAAGAGCAGCCCCTTGAAAGGGAAACTACAACAAGCCAAGTTAAAAGGGGTGCTCCAGGGCTGGAAGGAGGTTACCAGTGGCCATCCAAAGTATTGCCAACACTCAAGATTTTCCCCAAAGACAGTGAGGTTACTGTGATGACTGGAGTGGTGGAAATCAAATGATGGCTCAAAGCCACAAAAAAAAAGTATGTGCCTGTGGAGATTTTCTTCCCCTTGATATACCTGGGACTCATCAGGTGGAAGAAGATGGACAAAGAAAAAACGCCCAGATGGAGTCAACCTTGAGTAACCACCCTGAGCTGAATCTGCAGAGCACTGCACAAGGTACTTTCAGCAAGTCATAGAAATACTAAGACCATTTTATGATATAACTTCATGAAAAGTATTCTGTACATTCCTGGTCACCTGTTTTTAAAAGAGATTCATTTAAATTGGAAAAGTGCAGAAAAGGACTAGCAGAGAACTGAATGTTAATTTTTATTTAAATAGATTAGAAGAGCCTGGCATCTTCAGCTTAGCTAACAGAAAATTGAGAGGCAGCTTGGTGACTGGCAAATACATTTGACAGTAAATATCTAAGCTGGAGAGAAGCTATTTAACTTAAAGGACAAAGCTGGCATGATACAAAGAGATATGAATTGATCTTGGAAAAAATGAGGCTTGAAATTAAGAAGGATTTTACCCAGGTGCCGTTTTGAAATTCAGGGTAGAAAGGAAACGTGCTTTTTATATTTTGAAAGAGATTGTAGAGATAAATGGAAGAATTTATTCCTGGTGGTAGAAAATGAAGCCTAAATCCTTCTGTAAGTAACCCACATACTCCAGGCCTTTGAAAGGAGCATACACTATATTCATATAATATACAAATAAGTGTTTTATTTGTATTTATGCTGTTTTAAGCCCATGATGAAGGCATCCACTGATTGGGTATAAGGGTCATAAAAAATTGTCTCCCCTTTGTTGCAGAATTTGGCACTGAAGATTGACAGTTTTATCCCAAAGCCTTGGAGAAAGCCTGTGACAGGAGGGGTGTGTGTGCAGTGCTGGTGCTCCTGGTGATATTGTCCTCCCTCTGGTGCTCACACACTCAAGGGACCAACAGTGACCAGGCTGAAGGGCCTGGAATTTCTTACCCACCCCACAAATCAAATTGGTAGGAGCTTGATCTTGTTACACTCTTAAGTGCTGCTCTGTCATAGGACCAGATGTACTTCCTAGGGTCCTCTCTTCCCAGGCAGCTCTATTTAACAAGCTCCCCACTACTGCAACAGACTTTGTATACCAAGATTCCTCCAGTCTCTCCTCTTTCCTTCTCCTGACACGTTCTCTTGGTGCCTTTTGGTTGTTTGCTATAGCTGCTGAGTTTGTTATGCAGTGCTGGGAGCTGCTGGTCTGTGGGAGGGGGTGTGGATGGTAGATATTTTAGAAACCATTTCAAACTCTGGATCTGATTTGGGATTGCCTGGCAGTATAAGGTGTCAATTGAGTCACCCAGGTGGCCTCTTCTTTTGATGGGGTTTCTTCTGAGACTTCTCCAATAAGACATCTTGGTGTGGTAGCTGTGGAAATGAAAGGAGTAAACCTGTCCATGTACTATACCGTAGTTGACTTCGGCCGTGTGATGCATCGTGGGCACCTTCAGGGTGGAGCCCTCTGCTGTGGTAAAAGGCAACATCTGGGTATCCAGGAAGGAAAACTTCTTCTGCCACGTGCTTTTGAAGGACATGGTGCTCACCAGGGTGACCTGGCCAGGTGGTGACCCAGCGCTCTCCAGTGGCATGCCATGCACGTCCCCATCTGCATGGAAGAGAGGTGGGGAGGGGACACAAGCCATCCTACTCCCCCAGGCCTAAAGACCTGGTTGGTGTGGGTAAAGAAAGCAAGCTGGGACCACTCTCCAGCCCCAAGGGCAAGAGGCACAACTTATAAAGCACTGCTAAGCTCTCTGCCTTCCCCTCCCCATTTACACATGGACTGGATTGGGGTTGCCTGTTGGTACATGCTGTCCCCTGAGCCAAGCTCAAATCAGTCAACACTGAGGGCCAAGGGTGTACCAGGGCTCAGCTGCTCACCAGACAGCATGGATGGCAGCAGCCCACTGCTTAGCACCATGCTCTGGCTCTAACTGCTCTTCTGGCTCTAAATGTGCCCACATGTATCTTGCAGGGGTTCATCTTTGGTGCCAGAAATCCCTCATGAAACTGATTCATGCTTACAGATTGCTTTATGAAATAACTAAGTCAACTTAAGCTCATATCCTAATCCTCCCTCTCTCTTGTTTAACTGGCACTTCGACTGATCTTGCTTTGAGTATCTCAAAGATTTTTGAAAATGGGATCCACTTTCAATTCACTGATACTCATAGAAGGACCCCAGTATGAACTCCCATGCTTCTAGAACAATGCTTTTCTGTCATGAAGCTGGATCACTTATTACAGTTCATTTGAGCAGGAGGTATTTTTTCTCCCAATAGCAGCTTTACTCTGTGTGTTTAACATCACTTTACATGTTGATGGCCCAATCAACAATCAAGTAACTTAAGTCAATGGGGCAAATTGGGGATTGATTTGATCTGCTGCTTCTAAGGACTTACTTGTCCAGTTATTTTTTCATTAACGCAGAATTTAATTTCATTACTTTTCTTGCTTGTGTAGAAAGCAAGTTCATTTTATTTCCCATTTTGACTTCTTAAGCTCAGAGCCTGACTGCTGAGCTCACCAGCCCTGCATGTTCCCCACAGCAGCATGGAAGCATTCAAGGCAGTGAGCTCAGTCCCTGGGGAATTTGGCTGCTCCTCATTAAAACTGAGAACACTACAAAGGATTGCCATTTTAAAAACGAGGGGAACAAGGCCAAGGGGTTACCACCTTGATACTACAAACTTACTTACACTCATATTCAGACCTATTCCAGCTCTTTCCTCACATTAGAAATGAGCATCAGCACAAGGGTGAGATTTCCCAGCTCTCAGCCTTGATTTGAACAACACACAGCATGGCAAAAAGCTTTATGCTTGGCTAAATGCAGGCTCTCTAATTACTCTTATTTTGCACTTTATCCATGTGCAATCACTCTCACGAGCTGTCAGGTTACCTCGGGGGTTTGCTCTTGGGCTGTGGTTCTGTTGGGCTGAGTGAGGTTGGCTGGCTGCAGGGTGCTGTTGGCCCAACGCACAGCATGAGCAGCAAAAACGGGCGAGAGCTGCACGCCGGCGTCCACGAAGAGGGAGCACGTCAGCTGAACCACTGGGCCTTGGCTGGAGTTGGTCTCTCCTTCATCTGCCACCTGCCAGAGGTCCTGCACACCTTCATCTGCCAGGCAGGAGAGAGGGAGAAACTGCAGTTACCACCCTGAAGGCAAGAGCAGCAGAGGTTGCACCAGGGCTCCCATCTCTTCCCTCCAGTCTCCTCTGGAAGTTAAAGCTTTGTAACAACTGAAGCACTTTTGCCTTTATGGGTATTCCTGTCAAAGGTCATGATGCACCAGGCACAGGAAGAATACAACCCACAACAGTGTCTGCTTTTTCTGAAGTACAACTATATTTCCTATTTCAATATTCTTCTTTTTAATTCCTAAGACCCCTCAGACCCTTTCCTAAAAAAATATTCTTTGTCTTATTATTCCCTGATTTGAATGGCTGATTATTCCTTTTAAATGTAGAATTTTGCCCTTGTCAAAAGCTTGAGCTCAGTGTCACTCAAGAAGTCAGTAATGTATTCTCTAATTTGTTGTCTGCTAATGAAAATAGCCAAATATGACCCCAATTTCCTGTTCCTGGGGAGCTCATGGTTTGTGATGGAAAGGTTCACACTGAGGTCACCTTCCAAGGCCTGGGACTTGCACCCAGTCTGAACAATATTGGTGGGCTGTGTCTTCTCCTGTTCACAGTTCAAACCCTTTCAGATACCTCTTGCTGTGCTCTGGGGGAGACTTACATCCAGCCATTAAAAATCTTGTTGAGATTGTGACTTGCCTTTAAAATGTTTTCAGCAGGTTCCTCCTCCCATAAATAAGCTCCCCCTGAGAACTGTGAAATGTCTGGAGCTTACTCTTCTTCAGCAAGACATCAGTATCTCTTGGCTCTGCAGGGCCTCCAGGATCTCTCTACTTTCCCAGGGGAAGCAGCAATGGATGTCCCAATTTCTGTGTGAAACCTGAGCAACAAATTGCCATCCACCATCTCCAGGAGGTGTCTGTAGGGTACCCCTTGCTTCTCTGGGGTGCTGTACACACCTCAGGTGCTCCTCTGCCCTGGCCTGCAATCCTAGGGTGCCCTGGGCAGCCCCAAGGTGTCCAGCTCCACATGGACATGCTGGGCTTGCTGTTACAGCCCTGGCTGGAAATCTTGGCTGCAATCCTAGGGTGCCCTGGGCAGCCCTGAGGTGTCCAGCTCCACATGGACATGGCTGGGCTTGCTGTTACAAGCTTTGTAACATTCCCAGCTGGAAATCTTGGTTTTGACTCCAGGGGGACTTTACACAAAGGCAAGTGTCACCCAGTTTCTCCAGATACCTAAGGCAGTGTTGGAGGGAGGTCATGCTGGGCTTCCACCTGGGACATGGGCAGTCTGGGGGGGCTAGCTGGGGAAAGATCCATCCCCCCTGGACTCATCCCAGGCTGAGGATCAGCTCAAGGACAGGATTGCTGTGAGCCTCCAGCTGCCAGCCAGGTCCCTGATCTCATCAGGGGACTTCTACTGCATTGGTGCAGGTTCTTGATGGTTGGCCCTGATCTTACAAACCTCTTCCAACCTAAAGGGTTCTGTGATTCTGAAAGAGGAGTTTCACATCTACTGATTTCTACCACCCAAGAATCCAGTGTATGTCTTCTGACCTAACAGTGCTCCTTTTATTACCTGCAGGAAGACAAATCACCTAAGGGAATTTTGGGATTAACATTTAGATCTATTACTCTTTAAGGGATAAACTACTGAACTCCTTCAACATATGTCAAGAAAACTCACACGGTCTGAGGTGTAAAGTGCTTTTTTGTGTGTTTTGCATTAGTGCAGGAGCATTTGGCAAGCTCTCTGGAGGATGTGAGCAATCAAAGACAGTAAACTGGAAGCAGATGTTAGCATGAGGTGTGGTATCCTGAGTTTGGAACCTCAGTCCCATCAAAGTGCTTAGCTAACCAAAGTCCTGAATTCTTACTTGGAAAAGAGTTCAAAATTGCTTTTAAATATTCTACCATTGAGGGAATAAAACAGCAAGGAGAAAGCATTTTAAAGCATGTCATTTTTTTTTTGTGCTGTCTAGAGAGACATCCCTTTATACATTGTTTTTCTTAGTACCAGAATAAAGGTGAACAAATCTTCCAAACCTTAAAAGGAGATTACAAGTGCATGTAAGAGCGGATTCTCCGTGAATAGTGAATGAACCATCAATGTTTTCATTGTTTGCAGCCTGCTGAGGTTTTAACCACATCCCTCATTGTTGTTTGAGACAGACCAACAAAACATGAATGCAAACATCTAATGGAATCAAGGAATTCCATCAGACGTGTACATGTGTGATTTAGTTTTACTCATCTGATAGGAAATTTAATCTAAGTATTTATTTTTTTGATTTAAACCATTTGAGTTAGTGGTTTCCTTCTCTGTCACTGGAAACGTGCTCTTATAACCAATGGGAATAGTTTCCATCCTACTTTATTTTCACCTTCATGCATTAATAGCACTGAAAACCAAAGCTCATGTGGTTAGTGGCACAGACAACTAAAATGGAGAGGAGATGTCTGCTGGAGGTGATGTGCCACGTGAGGAGCAAGGCAGCACATCCTCTCCACTTCTCTTTGTTATATTTTGTGCCAGCATCCTTCTCTGAACTTCACTGGGCAACATTATTCTTGCCATTCTTTCTTAATAACCCCTAATGACCTGAAGTGTCAAGACAGATATAATCCTTGGATGAGTTAATGATCAAAATTACCCTGCTGAATTTACAGAAACAGGACTCTTAGATGAAGTATTTCAGCTGCTTATAACATAGATGTCCTGTCCTTGTGTCAGTGCCTGCAACTCTATCTGTGTACATCACCCAGAGTCAGCTCTCACTGCTGTGGGTTTTGAATATCTCTGCTATACAGAACACTGATGGTGACTGAGGCAATTTCTGGCATAAGATGGATAAATTACTGTAGGTTTTATCTTCAGTCTTCATACACCAAAAGTAGATTTTATGCTGAGCAATGGCAGTGCCACCTCTGTGCATTAGTCTTGTATGCAAGCTGCACATTTTGAAGATGAGGCAATCTCCTGCTTTCCATAAACATTGTGCCCATAATGTAAAATAGCTTTTCACATATGATGTGAGATGGCAGGATAATCCACAGCTAAAATGAAAACAGCATCCCTAAGCAAACAATGTTAGATTTTAAGACATCTGCCTTTTCCATCTCCCTTCCAGATTCCCAGTGAGTTTTCCTTCTAGCTTGCTTTAAGGGAAAGCTACAATTGCACCATCCTTCTCTCACTGCACTTATTTCTCTGCCAGTCTCCTTCTAATAACTTTTCAATTTTTTGGCCAGCTGTTATAACATTAGAAAAAGGTGCAAAGTCTTCAAGACAATTCAATTTCTAAAGGTTTCATTAAAATTTGTCAGTGGGCTATGGGAGAAAACGACTGTCCTCTGCCTACCACCTCCTTGCAGAGGCCAGGACACAATAAACCTCTAGGAAACCAGGAGCAATTCTGCTGTTCATGGAAGCAGCTTTTCTAGATGTAGTTGCACTTTGGTGCAGTAGAAGGAAAAGCACTGATCAAGAAGAAAGAGTATTAATAATGTGTGTCAAATACTCCTCTGAGTTTCCTTTGTCCAGCTGATACCTGGCTATCAAAGATGGAGAAAACACTCCTGAGCTGCATCTTGCAGGAGACAGAAGTTTACTATGATGTGTGCAACTGATATCTCCTTAGTAAAGCTCTGAATTTATTACAAAACATAAGACAAGAAGTACTTTTTTTAAAGCAGTACATTACCATGAATATTGTATCCTAGGGCATCCTGCAGCTCCTTAAAGGTATTTCCTTGAGCTCCAAACTGCAGCAGCTCCAAAGCAATTGCCACACTTGCTGGAGAGACTACCAGATTGGTTCTGTTCTCTGCTTCACATACATGCTGGTACAGGTTGATGGCAAATTGAGTCTTCAGCTCTTTCAGCTCATCAGAGGAGATGCAGTTTCCTTTGGTTAAGCAGCAAGCAGACAGGATAAATGTAGAGAAGAAAATGGGTGACATGAAGGCGAGCTGGGAATGCTCTCTACCAGGTAATCATACCTGCAATTAATAATAAAGATATGTTTAGAAAAGCAATAGGCTGGCAGGAAATTTCTCTTTCCATCAGTTCTCATCAGTACAATAGTAATGATCACTGGTAGAATACTAGTCCACATCTACCCAGTGGCTATTGTCATAAAAAACAATCCCAGATGTAGAGAGAACTGAGGTTTCCAGAATATCCCTACAGGATATGTATGGGAATAGCATTCTGGAGAACCCAGTGGTTGACCATTACTGTCCATGGAGCCACTTTAGTGTGGTCTCCATGCTGCTGAGCACCCACAGCTCCTTTCTGTCCTCAGCAGAAAGTCACACCCAGCACTCCTAGAAGGAGTACCCTTTTTGAGGTGCAGGTATCTAACTGGAGGCTCCAGGGTGGACTTTAGATCTAAATTTGCAAAAGGCTGGCTTCCAATTTGCCCCCCAAATATTCCTTCTGTGAAATTTGTCCTGAAGTAATTTGTCCTGTGAAATTTGTCCTGGAAAAAAAAAAAATTGTATTTGCAAAAGACTCCAGTGCTTGCAGCACAAAAATCACTACTTTGGATTTTTATGGGAAAGCAAATATTGGTCAAGGTTATATTAAGACACACTTAGATTCATATTTAAAGGAATAATGCTAACCTGACAGAACAGCTTCCTTGACAGAATTTCACCTTTTGAACATTGTCTGCAAGTATATTTTAAAAAATACCACACTTTCCTTCACTTCAGGATTTCCTACAAATCTTTCTCTGTGCCCTTTGCTCTACAGAGTACCTCTAATGCCTTGTATTTACTCACAGTTAGCTCTGTTAAATTGTCTTGCCTTTCTGTGTCCTTCTGGCTGTCTGAATGGAAGCTGTCTATGTACCTCTTGTCTCCTTCTTTAATAGGTAGTGGAGGAAAGACTAAGTCATGAGACTGCATTTAAAGGGATAGTCAGTGATCAGAGTCTCTGTCGGCGATGTCTGTACCACTCTGTCCAAATTCCTGTAGGCTACAAGCTCTATGGAGAGCCAGGCAAAGCAGCATGCCACTGACCAGCAAATCCAAGGCAAGGAACAAAAAGGTACACATGGAGATAGAGTCAGCCACTTCCTTGCAAGCCCTGCTCCAGCCTCATGAGACTTGTGACCTGCTGGTACTGAGCAAGGCATCTCCTATCTCTCTTCCCACCCCCCTCTTGCTTTTATATGAATTCCATTGATTCCTCTGCCACAAAGGGGAAGAGAAAGGGTTCTCTGTGTACCAGGCACACAGCTACTTTTTTTTCCCCCACTTTGAAACCTTATTCAGAAATCCCATGCAATTAAAATGTCTTTATTTGCCTTTTTTTCTTGTTAATGCCATCCCAAATAGCATGATTTCCATTCACTCTTTAGTTTCCAGAAAGAAAGAAGCAACGAAGTGTTGTGCTTGGAGGAGGTGAAATGAGGAAGAGGTCACTCTGAATGAACCTGAAGCAGAAGAGCTGTGGTGGTGACTGCTTTAAAGGCAGTTGCAGCTGTCCATGGCTTTCTTCATGTGACAGGACTGAATCCTGACCATCACATCCACAGGTTCAGCCTCACAGCTTCACAACAGCACCTTAGGCAAGCAAGGTTTTGGCTTCAAAATGTGTTTAGAACTGCAGCTAACTGATCTTCATAGAGTTTGGCATGATATTTATACACATAGCTATTTTATAACATATGTTCCTGTTGCAGGTGGGAAAGATGACACATGGAAAAAGGTCCCTGCAGTCAGGCACTAGTGTTCAGGTGCTACCATTCCAGCCTTGCAGGGGAGGAGCAGCCACACAGTTTAATTACAGCTTAAAATGACAGAACAGGCACTGATGCTGGGAGCTGGTTGAGGATCTTGGGGTTTAGGCCACATTCCTGCCAGGAAAGATGAAGGGCAAGAATTGGGCCAGTCCCAGCCAAGTACAACAGGCAGGGCTGTAGCTTTTGCCATGGATTTCAGTGGCAGCATCCTCATGCTCAAAGTGCTTAGGAGTTCTGCTGAATTAGGACCTCTCTGTTGAAGTTATCCTTTATAGTGTCCACTGAACTGGAGATGTATTCAGAGGGAATGAAATGGAGGCCACCAAGTGATGTCTTGAAGGGCTTGGAGCTGCCATTAGGTAAATTAACTCTGGTCACTGATGAGAACTGTGAAGCTGGATTTGATGTGAAGTTCTCAAAGGCTCCATGCCCAATAAGACATTTCCTCTGTGCTCTGCTTGATACTCTCCTGGGAATTTATTAAGATTTGGAAGAATGATAGGGAGCCCCTGAAGGTTTTAGGCACTGCTGTCAAAAATTGACATTCAATTCCCAGCTGGCAAAAATCTTCCTATTCAGATTCAGAGTAAGTATTTGTGCAAGATGTAATTGAAAATGAGACCCAGTGTAACTGTGGTGTATAAACAGCATCATTTCTGTGGGAAAGGGAAAAAAATGAATTCTGCATCATGTCTCCTACAGAGGGGACTTAGAAATCAGGGTGCTTGTTTCAAATCCTCCCTCTCTGCACCTGATTTAGGAAGAGAAAGATTTGGATGGATCTTAGCAGGAATAAAAAGAAAAGTATTTGTGGACAAGGAGAGAGGGTTTAAGAAAACTAAAAATGAATCAATGCTATTCAAAGTGGCTGTGGGGAATAAAAAATACACTTGACATCTAATGAATAAAAAAGAAGATGCATTAATGAATGATTAGAAAGCTAAAAGGCAGTAGAAAGAAGGAAGAGTCAGTGAAACTAGCTGTGGCTAAAAAACAAGTGATAAAATACTAGAAGTCAAGACCCAGGATTCTCACACCCCTTCAGTTTAGCAGCCTAAGTTTTAAGTTTCTCTTCCCCAAACTGGGATCCAAAGCCAAGAAATGAGTGTCCAAGGAGAAGCTGATGGCACGTGGGGGTGAGTCAGGAATCTGAGCTTGCTAAGTGAGTTCAGGGAGCCAGGAGCTGATTTGTCCAAGTATTGGTGGCTTGGGGCATAGAATAGGGGCTGCAAACCAAACCCCAAACCAAAAAGGCCCAGTACAGAAATTCCAGGTCAGAAGAGAGGTGTTCTGGACCTACAGAGGTGTTAGGGTGGGGTTGCTGTGGAGAAGGGGAATTTCTGACTCTTTTTAGGGGTTTTTTTTCCAGAGTCTTTAATCTTGCCTCTGTCCCAGTTTAGGCATCACATCCTTCTTTGGGTCTTAATCTGGGGATGCAGCACAAGGCACTGAGGAAAGTACTGATAAATTTGCTGGCAATCATTTTCTTTTTTAAGATGTTGGAAATGCATTTAAAAAGCAATGCAATTGATTGGTCCCCAAGATAAATCTTCAAAGACAGAAAGGGGCAGAGGTGGTGGCTGCATTTTGAGGAAGGTTTTTTGACACTGAGATAACTGCCTGTGATGGAAGTGAGGAAAGGCACAAACCAAGGACATCTGGAGGAGATACAGCACAGGGGTGTGTGGGCAGGAGGCTGGAGCATGGGGTGCTGTGTCTCTGTGGGGTTCCTCTGGGCATCTACAGGAGCAGCTCTGAGAGCTTCAAACCTCTCTTTCCCCTCACTGAGCAGAGCAAACCACCACTCTTTGAGGAGAAAAACAGCAAAAAGCTTCCTGATGTGTGAGCAAACCACCAAACAGGGAGCAGAACTGGTGGAAAGTGTTGGAGAGAAGCAGTAGGTGGTGGCTGCTCTCACTGCTGGATTAGATCCTCTTTGTGTTTGCAGGGTGCCAGTGCTGCTCCTGTGTGGACCCTTGATTTCCATCATGGGGGGCCAGGGAACAGGCTGCTGGAGCATCCCCTGCTGCTCACCACACCCTGTGTGGAACTGCTGGGAGAGGATGGGCTGGCAGGCTCCTCTGGGGGACAGGGTGCTCCCCAGCTGTGGAAAACAGACTCAGGGTTGTAATTCCAGACTGGTGGCAATGGGAAGGAAGGTGAGGAGCTTGTCCAGCCCTGGAAGCAACTAGAAGTCACAGGACTGAAATGGGAAAGTGGAGAGAGAGGCACAGCCTGCATAGGCACTATGGGCAGAGGGAGATTTCTTTAGAAGACTTTTTTCCCCAAAAAAATGTTTCTCCCAAGAAACAGTGGAAGTGTGGGGTTTGGGGGCTTCATTTTGTGTTTCACTAGTACTCTGAATGGAAGTGAGGGGTTTGGGGGCTTCATTTTGTGTTTCACTAGTACTTTGAATGGAAGTGTGGGGTTTGGGGGCTTCATTTTGTGTTTCACTAGTACTTTGAATAGAAGTGTGGGGTTTGGGGGCTTCATTTTGTGTTTCACTAGTACTTTGAATGGAAGTGTGGGGTTTGGGGCTGCATTTTGTGTTTCACTAGTACTTTGAAAGGAAGTGTGGGGTTTGGGGGCTGCATTTTGTGTTTCATTAGTACTTTGAATGGAAGTGTGGGGTTTGGGGGCTTCATTTTGTGTTTCACTAGTGTTTCTCCCAAGAGACTGGACTCTTCTCTGATTTATTAATCTGTGTGCTAATAGAATCAAGCCCTGCTTTGGTGTGGCTGCTGAGAGGAAAAGGGCAGCAGTCCTGCTTTTTGGGCTCTGGCCAGTTTAGGCTCCCACTGCATGGACGTTACAGAGCAATCTAGAGCAGAATTTGGCCCAGGAAAAGTCTGGAAGAAAAAAAGGTGAGAATACCAGGTGAGAAGTAGTTTCTTTTTTCTTCAGAACCCTCTTGTTTGCTTTCCTGGGTCAGGCTGGTCTCCAGCAATCTTCCTTTTGCTCTAGCACAATGCCTGGGATCAGCAGGATGACTGTACATTTACCCTTTCATAAATGAGAACAGAATTCAGCTTTCTGTCTGCATCTGGGTTTTGTGAGCTTGCTCTCTTTAAGATATATAACTCTGGGGAAATTAAATTGCATACAAACCAGCTTCCTTCCTACTTACATCTTTCCTCCAGGAGAGAGCCTGCACTGCAAGATACCAACACATTTGCTCAATCAGGGAGAAGGTTTTGCTGAATTTCAGGA